GTATTAAACTTATTTTAATCTCCTTTCTAGTTTGCAAATGAGAGATTTGTGTCTTATTGTTAGGTTAGTGTAGGAGGGAAGAGAAATAAGTAATGTAGCAATCATGTGAAATTTGTAGTAAAGTATATAAGTTAGTATATGAGAAGTTTTGTTCTTTAAAAAATATGAAAAAAAGGTGAACATTTTGGAAAAGAAATTTAAAAGTTATTAAAGGGCACAGAAGAAAATCAAATAAAAGAATGGGTGAGATGCAGTACTGTCAAAAAATATAAAAAATAAAAGTAAGATTTAGAAAGAAATAATGTGAGAAGATCAAGGAAACAAATGATTCTGTAGGACTGAAGGTGACGAGCTTTTTAATGTTGAATAATGGCTGCAAGTTGACAAATGGTAGTAGGAAAATATTTATTGCAATGAACCTTTAATTCATGTGTTTCACCTGTTTGATGAAATACATAAATAAAAGGTTCTTCACTATAAACTTTTACTACCAAGGTGGTGAGCTGTTGTGTAGGGAAGTGAAGGTATTAGAGAGGCGGAGAAAATACTTTAAGAAATTATGGAATGCATTTGATAAAATAGAGGTAGAAGTTTTGTGCTTGAGATTGAGTGGGGACAATTTGGGTAGGCAATAGGTTGCTAGACAGCAACCATTCAGGGAGGTATTACTGTCCTACCAAAAGAGTGTGAAAAGGAAGCCTGTATTTGTTTTACATGATGGTAGGATTGCTGGTGTGTTTTTTCTGTCTCATAAACATGCAAGATTTCAGGTACATCTTGCAACTTCTACTTACACTTAGGTCACACTACACATGCATGTACACGTATATTGTATACACACTCATCTGAGTTTTCTTTGATTTTATCTTAATAGTTCTGGTTCTTATTGCTTTTCCTTTCATATCCATGGGAAAGCGGAATAGAATCTTTCCTCTGTAAGCCATGCGTGTTGTAAAAGTCAACTAAAATGCCGGGAACAATGGGCTAGTAACCCCTTTTCCCGTATAGCCTACTAAAAAGGAAAAGAAAACCTTCAGCATGGGATGTCTGAATGTGTGTGGATGTTGTGCGAATGATAAGAGAGAGATGATTGTGGATTATGAATGAGAAGAAGCTGGATGTCCTGGCTTTAAGTGAAACAAAGCTGAAGGGGGTGGGAGAGTTTCAGTGGAGAGAAATAAATGGGATTAGGTCAGGGGTTTCAAATGCAGTTAGAGCTAAAGAAGGAGTAGCAATAATGTTGAAGAATAAGCTATGGCAGGAAAAGAAGAAATATAAATGTATAAATTCAAGGATTATGTAGTGTAAAACAAGGATTAGATGTGAAATGTGGGTTATAGTAAGCATTTATGCATCTGGAGAAGAGAGAAGTGTAGAGGAGAGAGAGATATTTTGGGAAACATTGAGTGAGTATGTGGGGAGTTTTGAACCAAGTGAGAGAATACTTGTGGTTGGGGATCTAAATGCTAAAGTGGGTAAAAATGTTATGGAGGGAGTAGTAGGTAAATTTGGGGTGCCAGGGGTAAATGAAAATGGGGAGCCTTTGAGCTATGTGTAGAAAGCAGTTTGGTAATAAGTAATATATATTTTATGAAAAAGAGGATAAATAAGTATAAGCCTCTGCCTCGTGCCCCACCCCATTCCCCAGATCCTACACCACCCGTCCAACAATCCCACCCCCGGCCCCCCTCCTCGCACTCTCGCCTTCTTTCCACAGACCCCTATCTCCCAGCTTGCCAACCCACTGCACAGCCCCCCCCCTCCTATTGTCCCTACCCTCTACCCAAGGATACCCACTGCCTAGCCCACCCCACCTACCAGCTACCCCACCTACCAGCCCACCCCACCTACCAGCCCACCCCACCTACCAGTCCACCCCACCTACCAGCCCACCCCACCACCAGCCACACATAATAAATACACCATCCACCACATACACCTGTTTAAAAGTAATCATGGCCAGGAATAAAGGTTGTTGTATATGTGGAAAAAATCTTGGGGAGAAACATGAGGGGCATTGATTGTGAAATATGCAGTAAAACATCACATATATCATGTGCAAAGCTTCGTGCAACCATGACAAATGACCAAAAAGAAGAAAGTCGTTTCTGGATTTGCCCCAGTGAAAGGGACAGCTGGTTAAGCATAAGAAAGGTACTGAAAAGTGAAAACCTAGAAAGCGTTAGGAAGTTTCTAAGGAGCTTGCCAGAGTTATACAAAGAGTGGAAAACAGGGGAAGTGGAACAAGAAAAGGAGGAAAGTGCAAATAGAGGTGAAAACCAAGGAGTGAAAGTAAGAGTAAGATTAGAAAACGTCATACAGAGCAACTCGGAAAAGAAGGAAACTGGGATACATAACATAGCGGAAAGGGGAAGGGGGATGAGAAAGCTAGAGCAGAAACAAACGAAAACGAGCAAAGGGAAGAAATTAGCTTAGAAGAAAGTGAACAAGAGAACTCAGATCAGGTGGCAGAACTTAGGAACGACACAGAATCAATAAATATAGGTAGTCAGAACATCATCTAGGTAGTAGGTTGGTAGACAGCAACCACCCAGGGAGGTACTACCGTCCTGCCAAGTGAGTGTAAAACGAAAGCCTGTAATTGTTTTACATGATGGTAGGATTGCTGGTGTCCTTTTTTTCTGTCTCATGAACATGCAAGATTTCAGGTATGTCTTGCTACTTCTACTTACACTTAGGTCACACTACACATACATGTACAAGCACATATATACACACCCCTCTGGGTTTTCTTCTATTTTCTTTCTAGTTCTTATTCTTGTTTATTTCCTCTTATCTCCATGGGGAAGTGGAACAGAATTCTTCCTCCATAAGCCATGCGTGTTGTAGGAGGCGACTAAAATGCCGGGAGCAAGGGGCTAGTAACCTCTTCTCCTGTATATATTACTAAATGTAAAAGGAGAAACTTTCGTTTTTCCTTTTGGGCCACCCCGCCTCGGTGGGATACGGCCGGTGTGTTGAAAGAAAGAAAGAAGTCAGAACATCTGCAGTTACTATGCTAAAGGTATGTGCCTGTATGGCAGAGATTGTTGGAATAAACGCACCAGAAAATGTGTGAACATGTTGAGGAAGGGAAAGTGTCGTTTCAACAAAGAGTGCAGGTACTTCCATCCAGTAATGTGTATAGCTTCAATGCAGTCCAGAGAATGTTATGACCTGAGCTGCCCAGACCATCATGTAAAAGGAACGCAGTGCTACAGAGTTAGCAGAGAAAGGGAAATTGAACAGCATTCTTTTTTTAGACAAAAAGAGAAAAGATCAAAACAAAGGAAGAGACAAACAAGGGGAATGGTACAGAGAGGAGAGGTGGGCAGTAAACTGGAGCGTACCAAACCAGGCATCAGCCCCTCAAGGCCGAATAAGCAATCAGACGCGAAGCCAGTACTGGAGAAACCAGGGGCGTGTACACCAGGGGACATACCAGGTAGTACACCACCAGTGGTACTAATGAAACACAAAGCGAGACAAAACATCCCACTTGGTAATTCCTGCTTCATATTTCCAAATATACAGGGTTTGAGATCAAATAAAAATGACAAAGTTAGTTGTTATTGGGCTCCTAACAGAAGCGAATGCCATATTTGGAGCATTTACAGAAACACATACAAGGGAAGTTTTGGACGGAGAGATAAAGATAGAAAACTACAACATGTATAGATGTGATAGAATAAATAGGTCACAGGGAGGAGTAGGAATCTATGTAAAGGATACTTTCTGTTGCACAGAAATGCTTCTACGAATGATATAGTAGAAATTCTAGGCATTAAAATTGAAAATAGGAATTCGGTAATTATCCTAGTATACAAACCACCATCGGCAACTGCTGCGGAATTCACAGATCAGTTAAGTAAGGTAGATAGCTATCTGCATAGGCTAGAAAATCCTACACCATATATTTTACTCCTTGGAGATTTTAATCTCCCTCATGTAAAATGGAAGATGGCACAATGTAATGTTATACCAGAAATATCTCCGGGAAGCACCCTGGCTCAACAGGTACATGCCAGGGAAATACATGTAATGAGGTTTTGTGAAAAGTACTCTTTAAACCAACAGGTAATTGATCCCACTAGAAATGAAAATACCCTGGATTTGATATTCACAAACAACGAGGAACTGATCAGAGACATAAGTTTCCAAAACTATTTACTCTGTTCATAACATCATAGAGGTTCAAACTAGTATTAACTCAGGTAGGAAACTGCATCGCTAAAGTTAGAGACGGGATGTTCAGTAAGTTTAATTTTAACAACCATAGAATTAACTGGGAAAAAGTAAACCAAGAGCTATCAGACATACCCTGGGAATCAGACATGAGCACCCTAAATCCCCACCAGTGCCTAGAGAAGCTGAATACAGAAGCATACAAAGTATGTATGAAACATGTACCATTGAGGAAACCCAGAGGCAGATAAGATATAGAGAGAGAGCGTAGGAGATGGTACAGAAGAAGAAAACGGGTTACTGAACTGCTTAAAAACACAAATATGCTACAACAAAGGAAAGATAGTCTTAGCAGAGAGATCACTGAATTAGAGCAAAAACTTAGGATGTCATACCTCACAGAAGAAGTACAAAGGGAACAAAAGGCCATACAGGATATTGCAAGAAACCCCAAATATTTCTATTCCTACGTAAAATCCGAGCTAAGAACTACCTGTAGAATTGGACCACTACTGAGAGGAGACTTGTATACTGATGACAAACAGGAAATGAGTGAAATCCTTAAAGAACAGTATGAGTCGGTGTTTAGCAGCCCACTAAATGACAGCAAGGTAGAAAATGCAGAACTATTTTTCACTCCAGAAGAAGGCTGCACAGACCAACTAACTGACATTAGTACAAATCCCATAGATTTTGAAAAAGAAATGGAATACATGCCCACTCACTCAGCACCTGGACCAGATTCATGGAATGCTCTATTTATAAAGAAGTGCAAAGTACCATTAGCACGAGCCCTCAGTATTCTTTGGAGAAAG